CTTCCCCTCTACAATTTTTGAACGTGGGACCTATTAGTTGATGGGGAAAGATTGACACCGTCGGTAGCAGACTGAAATACTTAACAAATCCAAGACGCTCAAGTTTGTCTGAGTCTCAGGGCCCTTAGTTCAGCTAATTATACATTGTATCATTTAATTAGCCTGGCTCTTTAACTGTTTCTTGGTAGAAATTTGGCTTTGAGTGTCCAGGTTCTCAAGCGAAAGGAACAGCCTAGGGCCCATGAGGCAGAACAGTCCTGGTTGCAACCGAGAAATGGAAAGAGGGGGTCTTCCTGTTCTCTCCCCTCCTTTTGCTGGACAGCCAAGGAATGCCCATAGAATGGGGCTCACCCACTTTCAGAGTGTTCTTCCCTCCTCATTAAAGGTTTCTGGAGATATCCTCACAGAGATACCTAGAAGGATGTTTCCCTGGTGATGATAACTCCAGCCCAGCTGACCCTGAGGCTCAACCATCACATCCCACCTTCACTTTCTCTTCTAACATCCTTTCTGAGCAGCCTTCTTACTCCTGGATGGTTTTCTAAGTATCTGTCAGCTGCTCAAAATCCTCCCTCACACATGGTTTACAAAGTTACCTATGGATTCAGGGCACCCCCTTCAGCGAGAAGAGAATCCTCACACCTCCTAAAAAGAACCACCTAAAGAGAATGTGGTATGAGTATTTTAATCCTGATTTAGATAAGTGAGCATTCTGGGAGATCTACTGTTCCATACAACCAAGTAAGTGGGGCACAGCTTCTCAACAGTGGTGGCTTTCTGAGCATTCATAAATTATAGAGAGGGTAAAATTAGCATTGCAGGAGTCCGGTGACCATTTCCTGTGCTCATTACTTTGTCGGCATTATGGTAATGCCCACATTGTTTAATAGTGTTAGCATCTTTTTATACTTTGATGTTTTGGCTTCTCATTAGAGAAGTACTGGAGTTCAGGCCACCGAAGGCTTCCGTAGATTCTGTGAAGCCCACTGGCATGTTTGCATTCCTGTGTTTTACTATCTAATATGTTGTGGCCATAACTGGAGAATGCCAGACTTGCCTTCAGAAGAACCCTGGCTCCTATATTTTTACCAAGGCATGCTTGATCATGCCCCTGTTTTCCCCAGCGCCATGTGGTATGTATCGATGCGTGCATAGCAATGGCCATAACTGGGGAGCTTTTTTTTTTTTTTTTTTTTTTTTTGCTGACATGTAACCTTCTTCACATAACCTGAGGTTTGTAAATTAATTGTGATCTACATATAGGTCAAAGGACTGGAAATGTAAGTCCCTACCCTGCAGCCTGGCAGTTGTCACATGACTTCCTTGTAGTCTCTTAGCTAACCCCCCCACCCCCCATCCCCCAATGAGCCTGAGAAGCAGTACAGGTTTCAGGAGACAGACTCAGCCACTCTGAGGCAACTAAGCAGCTGTTTTCTGAAGGACTTGAAGGCAGTGCAGAGCAGATCGGGGAAAGAGCTGTTCCCCTTACAGGAATCCCAGCAGAAAGTAACTCAGGCAAGGCAAGAAGGTGTCCGCTCCCCTAGAGCTGGAGTTCTAGGCATTTGTGAGCTACCCCGGTGTGGGTACTGGGAACCGAACCCAGGCCCTCTTCAGGAGCAGTAAGTGCTCTTAATAGCTGAGCCATCTCTCCAGCCAGAAATGTAATAAAATACAAGTTTCTTTCTTAAAAAAACATCCCCTCCAATGGTACATTTTAAAGACCACCTCTCTTTCCCAGGACCACCCCTACCCCCGGGAGCTTTGCAGGTAGGAGAACAGGAAGGACTTAAAGGTGAGCCTTGCAGGCAGCCGTTGAGTGCTTCAGGGGCTACATTCTTGATGCAGTGTCGTCTTACAGCAATCCTAGGAAAAAGCCTTACCGAATTCTCACTGATGCCCAGTACATACTACTTCCATGTTTACTGACTAGATCCATTGATAAACAGAACCCATAGGTCATACGTAGTTTGTAAGCCACTATTAGCCAGCAGGTTTACTATTAAGTACTGATTCCTGTTACCACTGTGAATGCAAAGGCCATCTCTCTTTCTCTTTCTATATGTGTGGTGTGTGTGTGTGTATGATGTTCCATTCATGATTCCCCTTTCCTTAAGATCAGTTGGGGAGGGCAGCTCTAGCCACTAAACAGGTGCTTTAAATAGCCAGACTAGAGCTGAGAGGAGGGAGTCGGTCTAGATACATCTCTGTGAACTGTGTGCCTGTGAACTTTGCAACTCACAATACAAAGGAAACTTCCATTGTCCTGGGGGGCGGGGAGGGCGGGGGCTGAACAAGCCACATGAAACACTCTGTTTTGATGGCCATGGATATTCCCAGAAGGCTGGAAACCAGAATCCTCAAGGCCACAGCAATGACAAGGCTCCAGTGACAAACGGGCAAAGGGAGGACTGTGTGCGACTGTAAGTGCATAGTGCAGGGCCCTGTGATCACTCCCAAGGGTGCCACCAAGGTCTTTGACATTGAACAATGAAATTATAAACACTGTTGCTGCCCCTGCTGCTGCTGCTGCTGCTACCGGCACCGCGCCCGCCCGCCCTAGTGCTATTAAGTGGTGTTTATTACATTCCTACCGCCCACAGTTGCTCTCTGCACTTTAGTGACTTCCAATTTAGTTACCCCCAACAACCCAGCGAGGCATCCACGTTACACAGATGAGGAAAGTGACGTTTAAATTGCTTAAGGAGTCCTACGGTACTCCTTGCACAGAGTAAATCCCAGACCCCACCTCTGGTCTTTCTTATTCCAAAACTGTATCTTATAACACTATCTTGAAAGCCCTTTCCCAGCAGAAGACTTCAGGTACCAAGATAGTATAACCTCCAAACTTTGCAAAGTATATTGAGTTTCTTGGAGGGAATCCCACACTCACCCCAAGGCCCCAAAAAGGCCGCCTTATAATAGTTAAACCTACCTAGCTTCCACATCCTGAAAGGGCAAATATAATCAGTGCCTCTTAAACATCCTTCCTTTATTTAAAAAAAAAAAAAAAGGTTACAGCGCTGACATTCCCTCCAAGATCAGAGGTGTATACACATCGCTGGCAGCAAGTCCAGACATACCGAAAGTGCGTGTTATCTAGAGCCAAGGACTTGACACCACTGCATCTGTAGGGAGACAAGCATCTCATTTCAATAGACAACTTGTTCATACAGTTGGGATCCTCCCGGCTGAACTGACAGGGAGTCGGAAGAGCAGCCCCAAACAAAGAGAACAGTTACTGCTGTCTCAGAGGGGCCCCTGCACGCCCTGGGGTTCTGCTCTTCTCCCGTGTAACTGAGCAGAACTCCGGTTGACTCCCATTAAAAGCCTGTCAGCACTCTCGGATTCCTGAGTGTGGGCAGAAGCTAGCATTATTTATTTACTTACTACCCATCCTCTATGGAATTCTTTGGGGGACAACGAGTCACAGCCAGTATTTAGGCAGCATGGCACGGTCACTCACTGGGTGTCAGGAATGGCTTCACTCTTCAGTCCATGGCGAAGTGAATGAACTCAGCTGAGTTTCTAGAGACAGCCCAGAGAAGAACATTGTCAAAAGAGGACTGTTCTACCTTGTCAGACACAGCCCGCAAAGGCAAGGCAAAGTAACATAGAATGAAAAGGCTGTGTTTGATTTCAGAGCCAGGAAGGGGTTCCCATCAGCCACCACGGACAGGCCAGCTCAGTGGAAGCCAAATTAAATGAAGCCCATCTCTGTCTCCCTTCCTTGTGGTCGTTTGGTGACATAAAGCGACCTTTTTCAAGAATCAGGGATGGTTTAACTTGCTAGAACTCATTTTCCCGTTACCTGACGGGAAATTTTGCTCAGCATGAAGGAAGAGCGTATTAGTGTTGTTGTTTGTTTGTTTGTTGTTGTTGTTTGTTTTTTCTTCCTTTGGCTCAGTAGTTCTCAACATGTGAGTCTTGACCCCTTTGAGGGTCAAATGACTGTTTTACAGAGTGTTGCATATCAGATACCTGGTACATCAAATCTTTACATTAGGATTCATAACAGTAGCAAAATGACAGTTATAAAATAGCAATGAAAATAATATTACAGTTGGGGAGTCACCACAGCATGAGGACCTGTATTAAAGGGTCACAGCATTAGGAAGGTTGGGAACCACTGTTTAACTGGACATTTCATTACTAAAGCATCACCTTTCATTCTAGTGGTTCTGAGAGGGAGGGAGGCTGAGGAGGGATGTAAGATAATAGGGTAGAAAGATAGACTCTGAGCAACTCTTTACCCACAGAATTTACCACTTGGAAGATGTATCATCACTGTGCTGGTTACATTCAAAAAATCATATACTTTCTAGTAAGTTGCAGTTGGAGTTTCCTTGTATTCCCAGAGCCTACAGTCATTTTTTTTTTTATTTACTTGAGACTCATCAGAATTCATTATCCAGGCTCTTACACATTGGTTTAATTCTTTCTAGCCCTCGTCACATGTACTGATTTATAAGAAATATAGGAAGATAAAAATCATATCTTTAAAAAAAAAACTTTCTATTACTATAACAAAATACCTGAGGGAATCTAGTTAAAAGGAAGAAAATGTTATTTTATCTCAATGTTTGGATATTTCAGGCCACAGAGGTTTAGCTTTTTTTTTTTCCTTTGGAGAAGAGAAAAACTTTTTCCAGGCAATGAGAGGATTTGGAAATTACTTGGAAAGCTTTTTGAAAGTACATTCTACACAGAAGACAAAGACTGTGTCAAGCTGGGTCAAGTGAAATTCTGCACTGGGGGCATGGATTGTTCCGAGTTGTGAACTCAGCTTTCTCTTGAATTGGGCAAGAAATGACCAGCGTTGGGATCTTTGACTAGTAATTGTGCCTTGACATAAATATGCATACATATTATATGTATGAGCTTGAAATGAGGGGTCCTAAGTAACTTTGTCTGTGTACCATGGGTAAAAATTGAGTGTGATGGGTGGTCACATTCCCAACGGCATCAGGCAGTGAGTACAGAGACCATGAAAGCACAAGAGATTAAAGGCAAGAAAGTTACACATTTCTTTAATGGGGAGTCATGGGAGTGAGAGAAGAACAGTCTGAAGCTGTAGATGACAGATGAGCTGTATGGAGACCCTGTACGGCATCCGTAGAGAAGGCAAGCGTCTTCATCTTGCCTCCCGTTTTAGTCCTACACAACAAAACATGAGATCATAAACTCCGTCATTGAAGAGGCTACATCTTACATTTCCTGTGTCGTACATACCATAAAATGTATAGCTAGCGTTTGTTCTGTGATCAAATAGGAAAGCAAGTGACAAGGAAATAATCCACTAGTGTTTATCACAGGTGCCTTTGCATTGGCAGCCTTACCTGAATGCTTTAGAGTTTGAGAGGAATAAGAGGGAAATAAAAAGATTAAGATTATGATAGATGAGGGTTAAGATAGGGGGATAGAGAGTCATTTGATGAGGTGGAATTTCTACTATCCTAGAAGTCTAAGGAGAAACAAGATGCTATTTGATTTGTAAAACACTTGAGCCTTCCCGTAAGCTAGCCTCGAACTCAGGATCTTCCTGCCTCGGCCTCCCTAGTCCTGAGATTTCAAGTATGTACCAGTGTGCCTGGCTTGACATCTTGAACTTACAAGAAAAAAAAAAAAAAAGAAAGAAAAAAAAAAACGCTTCTTTTCTGAGCCAAACAGTTACTATTAAAAAAAGTTTTCTACTGCTGATTTGTCCTTAAAATATATAGGAGACGTTCTTTCTGAAGATCCTGATCTTTTTAAAAGTTGTCGCTTTAAAATACAATTTTCTCATTTGTTCATCCCCCCACCCCCATGAAACGATAGTCTCAGAAGTATTTTAGTTATATATTCTTTAAAGGATGCTTTTGCAAGCAAGTTGCTGGAGCACTAACCTTCATTTTTAAAAAAATAAATAAATAAAAAGCATGGAGGCAAGCTGAATAATTACCCAAAAGGCCTAGCTCTGGGGCCATGTGGTGTGGAGATCTACTAGGATGCTGACCAGGTACTCTGGGCTAGAGTTAGGACTTCCTAACGAATGACCTTATAGTCATTTGAGTGTGTAACCGAATGTTACTACTTCTGATGGCCATTGAGAGACTTCTGCCGGGGCCATGTGCCTTAAATCATTACATATGTACGGTACTGTTTCCATCTGGGCAGTGGGAATACAAAATTAAGCCACTTCGTCCATCTCCTCACCTGAGTTGTAATTAAAGATGCTCTTGTTGGGTGACCAGCAGAAGCAGGGTTCAGAGCTATGTTCCTAAACGACAAGCAATCCTAAGCTAAAAGCGCGTGACGAAGGCGGTGGCGTGGCGTGCCTGTTGTTGGAGGAGCTAGGTAGAGAATGCTGGGGTTGACGTAAAGTTCTACTTGGGTTTCGAATTGAGTAAGTTGGGAAGCCAGCCACACGGCTTTGCTAAAATAGGAACGGACCTCGTAATTCACGGATTCTTTTAAAAAAAGAGTCACAGATGTGCAGAAAACTAGAGAAGGGCCAACAGGAAAGCATCCTTGGGAAAAGCCAGGATGTGTGAGAATGTGGAAAAGGAAGAGTTCTGTTCCACAATTTAAGCTAACGTGGTCGGGAATAGTTAACATTTCTCGGATTGAACATTAAGCTTCCTCCAAGGAAAATTACTCTGCAGCTGAAGTCAGCTGCACATCAGTGCCAAGAAAACAGTGCTGAATTTTGGGGTCCAGGAGAGAAATGAGTCAGTTGAGTACCACAGGGCTCCCAGCTCAGAAACTATCCGTCCCTTTGTAGTTCTTGAGAACATGGGAGATTACCAATAAATTTATCCTTTAGGAAAGGAAATGCTTAAAAATCATGATTCTCCCTTTAAAATTCAGTTTCTGTGACTACCTGTTATAGAGCTTCTAGGAAATACTTAGGTAGCCAAATGACTCTCTAGAGCCATTTCAGAGCTGGGTGTGGCATCCTGGTGCACACCCGTTATCACAGTAGAATTCAAAACCTGCCTCAGATGCATAGTGAATTTGAGACCATCCTGGGCTACATAAGACCCTGTCCCCCTCCCCCCCAAAAAAAAACCTAAATAAATAGGTAAATAATTTAAAATGTTACATGTTTCAGTGTAAGGCTGGAAACAATGTTTTTAGGTCAATGAAACATGTATTGATTCTAGGTCTTTTATGAAAGTAAAATATAATGAAAATAACATTATTTCCTCTCATAAACATAGACGCCATACATGCATCAGGTGTGGTGGTATCTGCCTTTCATCCCAACATTTCAGAAGCAGGAGCAGGCAAATCTGAGTTTAAGACCAGTCTGGTATTCATAGCAAGTTCCAGGATGTCCAAAGGTATATGATGAAAGCCTGTGTCCAAGGGACAGAGAAAGCTACTTTGCCCGATTGCGGTGTGGCTCTCAGAATCCCCCCAAAAAATGCTATTTCCTTTTTCATATTTGTTCTACAGTGTCATGGGATTCAGACTCCTAAGCTGTTTGTGTGGATGTCAGCACAGTTATTTATTTGCTTTGAGCTCAGGTTGACCTAGCCCTGGATAAGCTAACCTGTGCCATAGTATACTGACAGTTACTAAGGCCCCTCTTTGTCTTAACAGGATTGTGTCTCATTAATACAGAGCATTTCTTCTAAGTTTCTTGATGCTGCTCTTGCTGGTGATGGTGATGTTTTGTTCTTCATGAGTTGAATTTTAGCGGAGTCCAGAGAGATGCATCAGTGAGGAAAGTAACTGAAGAATAAGTTCTAGGTCTCAACTTCTGGACCTGTAGCATCACATAAAAGCCAGGTGTGTTGGCTCACAACCCTACCTCCAGCACTGGGCAGGCCGAGACAGATGCATCCCTGGAATGTGCTGGCCAGCCAGCCCAGCCAAATAAGTGAGCTCCAGGTGGATTGAAGGCCCTGTTTCAGAAAGTAAGACAGAAGACTGGCAATGCATACAGCGGGCAGATCAAGGCTACTTCCTGCCACGATGGACAGTCCAAGTCCCATGGTGCTCACGTGGTAAGAGAGAACTGATTTCCACACGCTGTCCTCTGACCTCCCATCCATATGATGGCAGCTGTACACGAGCCTCTGTGCATGAATACAGACATAAAGCATGTAAGTGTAAAAAAATGTATTGAGACACAGAGCTAATGAGGAAGACACTGGACACTGGCATGTAAACTCCATGTACACACATGTGTGCATGTGCACACACAGGTGACCATGGATGCCACACCTACACATGCATCTAGACTCTGTGTACACACAGAGGTGAACATAGACATCACATGCACACACTTGTGCATGTGCACATACAGGTGAACATAGACACCACACATACACATGCATCTAGACTCCGCATGCACACACATGTGCACATATTTGCCACACATACATGTATCTAGACTCCACGTGCCTGAAGTTTAAATGAGGGGGTGTCCACACAAGTTCTGTGAAAGATGTCCGTCTCTTCTGGTGAATCTTAACCCTCCATGCAAGGAGAGGCTGAATACCAGCCAACTGCCTCCACTGAACAGGCCTACTGTGTGTACACACTCAGTAGACACAGAACCATCGGAATTGTCTGAGTGAACACCTTGAAAGATATTGCTGCCTCTTTAAGAAAACAATCATTACAGGATCCATGCCTTTAAAAACATGTCGTAGAGATCTCCCGCTGCTAGAAAGAGAAGACTCCGAGTAAAGTGGTATACCTGGGCCTCATCAGCACCTAAGAAAGAGCTGACCTAGCAGGGCTTGCCCACCCCCAACCCCCACAATGACTGCCCCTGGGGGCTCCTGAGAGATACACAGAGGAGAGTGAACCCCACCCCAAGTAGGTTTGAAACCACAGCTCATCCGTTTGGGCTGGCACTGGACTGGACTGCTCTGTTCTATGAAAGTGCAGGGGTTTCCTCAGGAGAGAGAATTAATAAGTTCAGGTTGTTTCCATTTCAGAAATAAAACTCAGGGCAATTACAGTTTCTATGCCTTAGTTTCCTGGTGAGAAAATAAAACCAATGGGACACATACCTTCCCTGATGAGGGGGCAGGCGTTAAAAATATAAAGGATTTTCACTTTTCTGTGGGATGTATGTGTAGTGTGTGCAATAGGATATATTTATCGAGAGTTATAAAGACATAATGTTAACCACTCTAGAGAGTCCTAAGCAGAGTTATCATTTGGTCCTGAGAAAGATGCCATGGCCAGTGTGTGTCTGCTTCCAAGAATGGTAAGAACTCTGCTTCCCTGTCTCAACACTTAGCTCTGAGCTAAGAGATGCTGCGAGGCAGATAAGAAGCTTGCAATTCGTTGCCCAGAAAGCTTCCAGCTGGCAGTTTACTTCCTTTGTGTTTTTTTTTTTTTATGAATGGTGGTAGTATTATGATTTGGTCTGTGTTTTTTTCTGACCGAAGCCATTCATAAAAATAAAAACAAAATAAGAAGAAGAACAGCAGCAGCAGCAACAACAACAACAACAAAACTTTCTAGGCACCAGTCTGGAGCAAATGAGTGCCAGAGGCTGGGAAAACATCCCGGCAGCCTTAACCACAACCAGCATTGAAGGCATTCAAGGGTCTGTTTGTTTGGTGGCCTAAGAAGTATGAAGTGCTGTGGCTAAGTGTAGCTGGGAGAAGGTCTGTGACATGAACTAGGCCGAGAGCCAAGGCTGGCAAAAGTTCAGACATTGTCTTTCTCCTCACTGAAGTGTCAGGACCTAATTCATGGAAAATTGGGTGAGCTGGCAGCCCTCTCGGAGTTTCATTGAGACGCTCTGTACAGGACTCGAGTGAATGGAGCTCCTCAGCCAAAAAAGGAGGGGGCTGGTGAACGGTCGGAGCCAGCCAGCCTTCGTGTATAAGTGTGCATTCCAAACGGTCTGGGAGGAAAAGTGTACAGGTGTAAGGGGCAGGAGAAAAGAGGAAGAAAGGCAGTTTCTCCTTAAAAAGTGACCTTTTGAAAATGAGCACTTTCTTGGCACACACTTTAGAAGCCTAAGAAGCATGAAGCCCTGTGCTTCCTGGGTTCAAGTCCACCTAGGGAAAAAAAAAATAAAAAGAAAAACATCATCTCAAAACCTGGGCTTTGATGATGTTATCTCTACTATGAATTAAAGACATGAGGCATTTTTAAGTGAAAATATCTTGCCAATTTCTCTTTTTGTTTTTTTTTAAATCTCATCCATTTTTTAAAAAAATACTCTGCTAATTTTATATAATATTTTCAAGATTCAAGAAAACCATCACTGCCTTACAGACATTCGGTATTCTGAACACAGTGCATTTAGCCCACCTCCTGAGATTCTGAAGGTCTCGAACAATTTCATTTCTTTGGCTTGAATCTCTGAATCAAGGTGCCTTCGCTATATTTGCAAACTTTAGGAATTTGTAAATGGAATTAACAGGGCTTATAATCAGAAATAACCATGTTGTCAAGTAGTGATCTTCCAAAGCCCTGGGACTTCTCTCATCCGTCTTTTATACCACTGAAGAATAACAATAATTTCTGAAACTTGATTGGAAAATTAATTCAGGCTATAGAGAGACCTCAGAGGTTTCACTCAAAAGAGAAAATACATTGATGTAGGTATGAAAATAAACCTTCATAGGATACTATCACAAATGTGGGTGGATCCACAGAGGAGGAGAAAGTATTTGCAAACTATAGCTCTGAGAAAGGACTATATCCAGAGCATCAGGAGAACCCTTGGGTCTTGTCTTAGTCAGGGCTTCTATTGCTATGGTGAAACACCATGACCAAAAGCAAGTTGGGGAGGTGAAGGTTTATTCAGCTCACACTTCCACATTGCTGTTCATCACCAAGGGAAGTCAGGATGGGGACTCGAACAGAGCAGGAACCTGGAGGCAGGAGCTGATGCAGAGGCCATGGAGGGGTGCTGCTTACTGGCTTGCTCCCCATGGCTTGCGCAGCCTGCTTTCTTATAGAACCCAGGACCATCAGGGATGGTACCACACACAATGGTCTAGGCCCTCCCACCAACAATCACACAGTAATAAAATGGTCAACAGGCTGATATTATGAAGGTATTTTCTCAAATGAGGTTTCCTCTTCTCAAATGACCCTAACCTATGTAAAATGGACATAAAACTAGCCAACACATGTCTTAGTGTTGAAAAAAACGGTTTTATATTTTTTCATTTTATTTTTTTTAATGAACAAAGCATTTGAATACATATTTCTTTACAGAGGCCAAAATGGATAACCAGTTAGTAAGCACCTGAAAGATGTTTCCTGTAATTAGTGACGAGGGACATTCAAATTGGAGCAATGGCATTTAACTTTCCACCCAGTTGGAAGCCAAGACTTAAAAAACGACAGACAATAACAAGTGCTGGCACATCCGTGCCTCCTACACCACTGGTGGGTCTATAAAATAGTGCTTTGGAAACCCATCTGGCCGCTGCTCAAATCGGGTGGGGTGGAGTACTGTCATTTTCACTCAGCAATACCACTCCTCGGTGATCCACAGTGAGAGAAAACGTACTACAGTAGAATATGTTATGCTCACAGTAGCCAAGAGGAAACAACCCAAATGGAAACCAACCAATGATCTACCGAATGTCCAGATAGGTAAAACAGGGGAGTATTGCTTGGCATACAAAACAAATTAACTGTTAACACTATCGGAGTTATTTTTCTAATTTTGTTACAAAAGATTTGACAAAGGAAACTTAAGATAGAAAGGCTGTAGCTGGGCTTACAGTTCAAGGACACACAGTCCATAGTGGTTCGGGAAGCAAGGGCAGCAGGAGCCTGAGGCAGCTGGCCGCATTACTGACTCTGTCAGTTTGGAAGCAGAGAGAGGTGAGCTTGCTTGCTCAACTTCCTTACTCAGTATGCAAGACAGGTAAACAGGTAATGGAATGGTGCAGCGGGACACTTTCCGGGTGGGTCTTCTCTCTTCAGCTAGACCTTTTTGGAAACACTTTCACAGACACACCCAGGGGTGTACTTCCATGGTGATTGTAAATCTAATTAAGATTAGTCATCTCAGGTATTACCATATGACTTTCCCTCCTCACTGGGAAACTAAATGTGTGTGTGTGAGAGAGAGAGAGAAAGAGAGAGAGGACACAAGAACCTGTTGTATGATTCTTCCACTACGAAATGTCTGAAACAAGCCAATTTATATAACAGAAAGCAGACTGATGGTAAATTAAGCTCAGGAAGTTGACTAGGAAGGTGGAGAGCCATACGGAGTGGTTACAAATAGAAAGTTTCTTTTATGGAAAATAAAAACGTTCTAAAATTAGGTTGCGATGCCAACTATGCACCTGTTCATAGTAAAGATTCCTCTGAATTAACAACTTAAAATGAATGAATTTTGTGGTTTGTAAGCTTTATCTTGGTAAAGAGTCTTCCAACTCTTCTAGTTCTATGATAGCAGACTAAAAACCAAGTGATTCCTGTTGCAAGAGTGCTGAAGAGCCCGTTCTGTCATTCCTTCACACGTGGAAATGATGAGTGAAGGTTCCTATGAACTTTGGGAAGTTGAATTTTCTCCTTTGCTTTGCAGATGCACAGTCACACTAAAATGTGACAGAACACTCAGGTTTTTCCCTGCCTCTGTTTCCTTGTAAACTCTAACACTTCTTTTCTTTCTTTCTCCCTCAGCCACAACAAGTCGTTCAGAAGCCTGCTCAGGTAAGACATGATCCTTTATAATTTTTCTCCCAAAAGAACTCAAGTGAAATAGGTATGGAGAAAGGTGGTTTCCAAGCCTTTAATTAGCATTTTCTTATTCTGATTATGTCAATATCGAAAAAGTATTGAACATTTGCTGTAGCCTTCAGAGCCAGGAATAATATAGTCTGAGATTATATTAGTACAAGCCCCAGAAAGGACCAGTGGGCTAACTCATCTGGCAAAGGCACCTGCTGCCAAACCTGATAAGCTGACTTGCAGCTCCAGAGTCCACCTACACGTCAGGGCAGCCATGTTTGCACACAGATAAACTGAAACACAAACAACAGGGTCGGTATAAAAGAAGCATCCATAACATACAAAATAAAACTCTGTCAGGGCTGTAAATAAACATTTAATTTTATTGTATGTTTTAGCAATTTTTCTTCTTTTTGGGTTTGCTTGTTTTCTGTTTTGAAATAAGGTCTTTCTACATAGTCCTGGTTTTGTTTGCATGTTTGTTTGTTTGTTTTAAGATAAGGTCCTTCTTCTACATAGTCCTGGCTGTCCTGGAACTCACTCTGTAAACCAAGCTGGCCTCAAACTCAGAGATTCTCCTGCTTCTCCCTCTCAAGCTCTGGGATTAAAGGCTTGCACTACTATGATGGGGTTGCTTTCGTAACTGCTAAGTTTTGTCTTTTCCTCCTGACTGCCTGTAACCCTTTGACTTGACGAATAACTTACTAGTTGTAAATGATTCTTAATGTATGACTGAAAATAGCTGATCGCTGAATTGTTGCGTAATATTTGATATCCTAAAACAACTCCAGTGAGGATGATCAGCTAGAAATTTATGTTAATGTTCCCCATTCCCAAACTCTCAAAAAAATCATCATTAATCTATTGTATTAAAAGTACCCTTATTTCTTTTGGTCCATAAGCCTGGAGTCTCTTGTCCAAGCTACAGTGTGTATATACAAGCATAGAATTTGTACTTGTTTAAGAAATAGATCTGTAAGAGGATATAACTGATGTATTCATTAATCACAATTTCTAAGTGTAAACTAAGAAAGTAGAATATCCATCCTGGGTTGGGATATAGCTCAACGGTACAGGCTTGTCAAGCATATAGGAGGTCCTGGTGTTTTCTTCCCATTTGGATTTGAGCAGACACTGAGGACATGTAGGTAGAACCTATTAAAGTCAGTCACTAAATAGAGCTGTGGGTCATGAGGTTGTCTTTCAAGTAGTCATGTAGACCTCCTTAACATAATTTAAAAATTGCCATAGAAATGTCGGTTTCCCTAAAAAGCTTTCTCTCAAAGGAACGTTGCTTAGAAAAAGCCCATGCAGGCAGCCCTAACATGTACTCCTCCCTAAAACTACTGCTTGGGATGAAACTAAAGTTTTCAAATATACATATATAGGAATACAGGAGGAGTGAATAAAATACGTAGATGTATAGTTATTGATAAAAGCAAAGCTGGGATAGAGTAGCAACAACAAGAAAACACTTTGTCCCAAACCTAAAAGCCCAGCGTGGTTTGAGCAGTACTAAAACTATTCAATGTCTCTACTCGGTATTTAACTAAATAAAATGTAGTAAACACTCGAAATGATATGATAACCTCTTATCCTTCGTCGGGAAAGATCATGAGCAATGCTGTACATTTGAGTCAGAGGATACCATGGGCCCCAGCATGCGCCACAATCTAGAGATTCATAACCTTACATGGTTTGCAAGCATTGATAGCAAGTCTACTCTTGGTATTGAACAGAATGCACACTGAACAATAAGCAATGCTTTAAGAGAATTATCAAACGCAGAGGAGAGGTTCCTACCATAGCCGTGCTTAGGGATGGTTCATATGCTTACACAAAACACCTAAACTCTGAGCCAGTTGTGAGTCTCTTTCGAGTTCTGTGTTTCTCTATGTGAGAGCCTTTATACCATGGGAGTCGGCATACGCATCCTATCCAGACCAGGCTTTTCCTAGAGAACATGTTTCAAAATGCCTACAAGCCCTGGCCACACACACCATCCGTTCTGTTTGACTTGGTTTGAAGACCTTTGCATAAGTATTTTCCATGAATCCTCTATGTGATCCTCATGGGCAGCCAAGAAGGAACATGCTCGGTGATAAAAGAAAAAAAAGATGGCAAGTCGTTCGAACATTTGTTTGATGAGCAAATGACCACAGAACGTCAATGCATATGTAAAGTCGTGAGTAAGGGAAGGTAGAGACACAAAAGGAGGTGTTATAGGTGCGATGAGAGTCATATGCAATAGTGGAGTATTATAGTATAGAATATATATGCCAGGCGGTGGTGGCGCATGCCTTTAATCCCAGCACTTAGGAGGCAGAGGCAGGCGGATTTCTGAGTTCGAGGCCAGCCTGGTCTACAGAGTGAGTTCCAGGACAGCCAGGACTATACAGAGAAACCCTGTCTTGAAAAACCTAATATATATATATATATGTATATGTGTATGTGTGTGTGTGTATGTATATATGTGTATATATACATATATATGTATATACGTATATGTATATATACACACACACACATATATATACATACACACATACATAGAGAGGGAATAATATAGAGTATATATTATATATACTATATATAGTAGAAAAGTATATAGTATAGAATAGACTATAGCATACAGTATATTATTTTGTATATATAGCAATATATATACACATGTATATACATATATGGTGGAATAATAGATGCATATGCATCACAGGTAGGAATCATTAATATGTGTCTGTAAAGGATTATAAATTGGGCTTAAAACACCAAGGATAATATAAGTGAAATCACACACACACACCAGGGAATCAGAATCTGAAAGACGTTACAGGAGAGGCAATAGCCGTCACTGATCTGTCTGGCTGTCTTTATAGACCTTGTCCAAATGTTCCCTTTAAAGGAAAGCAGCTCAGACAGCATTAGCAGGGAAGAGAGCACAGCTCATTGGACTACCTAATTTATATCGTCTCGAGGCACAGCGATGGGTTATGTAAACACGGGTACTACATGGAAGTTCGTGGAGGATAATGTAAATTTTACAGAGCTAAAGACTCTCTTCCCTTTCCATCTGTTTCTTTCAAAACACCCTCCCAGATGGCTCGTCCCTGGGATAGTGTGCATTGACTCAGGGCCATGCCTTGAGCTGGTGACAATTAACACAGTTAAGTGTGTCACATGTAAAAAAAGAGATAGTCATGCATATGACTTGAGTGTTTCCTTCTGGCCATCCCTGGGCTTTGTCCTGTGTATCCATCTTGGAAAAAAAAAAAGGCCTGATAACAATTACTGTTCCCTAATTCTCAAGAAAAGCATGAGAAATGCATAATTATGTAAATACCAAAGGAAGATATTACATTCTAACTTATTTTGGGGTTGCTAAGTTTCCTGTATGTCATACTTTACATTTTTAAAATTTTTAAGAGTTTTAATTCAAAAATGTCCCCCTTTTACCTCACATTTTAATTGCATGTTTTTAAAATGTTTTAAAATAAAAAATAAGGTTTTTTTTTTAAATCAGGGGAATTGTATAGGAATTGCTAAATCCTATAATTGGGACGAAAGCCATCAGAACCCCCTTCCTTATGTGAATATCACATGAATATTGGATTACAGAGGCTCTGTGGTAAAGAATGCTCGCAGGCCCCGGGATAGCAAGCACCAGAAGGTCATTCTGAGGGGGCAAGTTCATCATGATGCGAAGTCTCCCCATCTGTGTTTGTATTTGTAAGCACATTTGTTTATAAAAGTTTACAGCAAGCTTTATTATGTAGGGGGTTGTGTTTAGAAAATGCACCAGGTGCCATGAATTGCAAACCTCAAGTCTGTCCCACAATCCTCATGGGTGAGAGTTCATCCTTTCCAGTCTAAAGGGGGTAAGCCTGCAGTGTTCACAGTGACCCCCCCCCCTTTAAATGCCCAAACCACAGAAAACAAGGCTTACTAGAAGCGCTACTCTGTATTTTAAAGTCATAAATTAAGCACTAAATAGAAACTAGCTAACTAGAAATCAGCAAAGCCTTTAGCAATCTAAAGTCCTCACCACATACATTGAAAACGTGTTTTAGAAGGGAAAGGTGATACAGGTTTTTTTTTTTCTCTTCAAGTTATTGACCAAAGGAACTGTTTTTTTTTTCTTGTGTTTTTTGTTTTTAACTCTGCCTTCTTAAAAGTTCTGCTTCTGCTAGCTTGTCTGTGTCCTACTGCTTCTCAAAGTTCCTATCTTAAGGCACTGAATCAAGATTAGAAGTGGCCCCTTATATATAATCCAGACACTTTGCTCATCAAAGGGAAAACAAGGATTTTTGTTGTTGTAGTTCTGTTTAAATTCTCCCAACGTTCCTTGTTTCAGTGAGTGTTGTTCATTTGAAAGCATCCCTTGAGTTATTGAAACAAGAATAACCTTCTTTTTTCAACTTCCCATCAAGAGAACTGGAAACCGTTCAGCTTCTGAACGACTTGAAACAAAGCATTCCACTTCAAACTAGATTTCTTACCTGTGGAGATCTTCTGCGTGTGGTGTGTAGCAGGGATGAGGGAATCCTGAAAAACACCCCCCAACTCCATCCCCCACCCCCACCCGCTGTCCTGTGGCACTCACCCCTTCCAAGATGTTGAATGTTTTCACAGAAACTTCAAGGGTGGTTTTCAAGGATGTTTACATTGCAGACAACCTAAACATTGTTTGGAGGAAAATGAGAGGTTTCATTTGGGGACAGGCAAGCTGATACATTGTAGCCAGCATATCCTTCTCAAAGAAGGCATCTTTACTGGGTGCTTTTAGTCTAGACAGACAAAGGAGGAGGGAGGAAGAAAGCAATCTCCCTCCAGTGCTCACCTTCTACATGGTACATAGTACCTTGGCCAAAATGCAGTAAATGGTTTATAATAAATCAGACTTACGGTCACCAGCCGGCTCGCTCGGGAGCCTGTGATTTATTCACCTAAGTCATAAAGAGCACTGATTGATTTCTCCCCCTGCTTACATTCCTCCAGGCTGGTAAAACATTTTGTGGGCCAATAAATGTTTGGTACCGAGTGGCAAACGCGAAGGATCCCATCAAAGACTTCCTTGAGTGTCGATGTTTTGTTACAAAGGAAATAACTTCTTTTGACTTCACCTCTGACCCCTGGCATTGCAAAGGTCAAAGGGAGAAGGAGAGAGTTCCGAGGCTGAAACCAGTGTGTAGCCCAGCTCGAGGGCGTGGGCGGCAGAGAGAAAGCACAGGGCTCGGAAGGAGGACAGAAAAGTGATTGTTAACTCTAAACAGATGTGGGCATTACCTTGGCCCACAGTCCTCACAAAGGAGCATTTGGCAGGTAAGGCCAGCTGCTTCTAGGCTGGGACTGCCCACAGAGAGAAAGTAGCTCCTGAGACAGGGCAATTTCCAGAATTCCGAAAGACAAATTCAGCATTTCTGGACTCAACAGATTGCTGCTGCTGCTGCTGCTGCTTAGTTCAGTTTTCTAGCTGTATGAGTTAGCCTACCCAAGAAAGAGCAGGTCCCCCCTGCTCGCATCAGATAGTCATCCCTCTGCACCTTGATGTAAGCTGGATCAAATCTATCACATATCTAAATTGTTGTCCACGCTTGCCAGGCCACATTAAATACAGAGAAGAGTAAGGAGCTGTCAAGTCTGGGCTATGTGAACCAGTCCTCCATGATCAAATAGCGCTGAACCCTCACATGTCTGCTGAATAATTACTTGTTAGTCTACCCCGATTATTGATATTTTTAGTATTTTCATTCCAAGAGTCAAAACTCAGGGCAGAGCTGGGGAGAGGATACAGTGGCTAAAGTGCTTAGCACACAAATATCAGGACCAAAGTTCAGATTCCCCAGAACTCATGTAAATGCCCAGTGGGCACTGTAGACTACTGGTTACAGCCTCAGAGGGCATATATTATTATAAACCTTATAACAAACAGGTTAGCAAATAGCCATTGACCTCTGGCTGCCAGTACACATGTAGACGTGTGTGTGTGTGTACAGACATATGCCCACATGTATGCAAATATGCACACATACACACACGGTGGGGGTGGTAGGGGTGCATGCCTTTAATCCCAGCACTGAGTTTGAGGCCAGCCTGGTCTACAAAGTGAGTTCCCGGACAGCCAAGTCTACACAGAGAAACCCTACTCAAACATGAAAAGGGAAAAGAAAAATATACAAAGGTTTATTACAGCCAGTGTGATTTTTGTCCTCATAACACAAAGGTTCATAATGTCACCTGGCACCAAGTTTGCAAGGAGATCTCTTCCACTACAGACCTCCTAACTATTCTTCCTCCAAAACTTAAGCCACAAGCTCCAGTCTTAACTCCTTGAGGCTCACACCCTTGCTTGTACCACCTGAAGGCCAAGAGTTCACTCTGAGTACCAAGCTACCTCTTCTGTGCTCTATAACCACTTTAAGGTGTGCCCATGATGTGGAACCAACCTGAAAGAATGACATAAGGGGGTTTTATCAGCAAGCTTCCAAAGCAGTGAGAGTTCTGAACGAACAAAAGAAAACCTGAGGCAGAATGTGTGCAAGTTTCTGATAGTTATAACAAAAATACAGTTCCCTGACTCCACCGCCTCCCTGTCTTCTGCCACTGGTTTTCTGCCGGTTGCTTTAATAAGCAGCCGTGTGAATGGCAGGGATGTGTTCAGTGTCTGAGAGGTTTACTGAGTGTTGCTCATTAGAAATGTCCTCATGCAAGTCTGCCCCAAAAAGGCCTTTTAGCATAACATTCCCGAATCCCCATTCTGAACAGGTAAATCTTGACCAGAGTGCTGGTGTTTGGTTTTCCCAGTCTATTAACCAGCCCCTAATGGGATGTCTGTAACTCTCAGGCATAGTATGTCAATCTCCTTAGCATTTCAAGGTTGCCATGGGAACTTAACAGCAGTCAAAGTCCCTTGGGCCACGGGTGGCAAATGTGGAGCCGTCTTTAGAAACATCTGGAGGTGCAAGCTGTGGTCAACAGCCCACCACCCTGCCTGCTAAGTTACTGAAGAGGATTGAGCCTAGAGGTTGTTCTCTGCAGTGGCAATATCATTCCTTCATGGATAGCAGAGACAGTTGCTTATCCCAGATACCCCTTGTTTCTGGCTGTTTCTTGTACAGCACAGGAGTCTTGGGTTAAGTTCAGTGTAACAGGAGGACTAGAGTCAGTTTTACAACCATATCTTTGTACCCAACAGGATTTTTTTTTCTTCTATTAGTTTCTTACAGCCTGGGGGACGGGGAGGGGAACCACATATGGAGCAAAAATCCAGGTCACTTAGAGAGGTGAGAACTTGAGGTTGGGAAGTGCCACCCGCCCTACCAGCATCAACCTCTTGGGCAACCTTGGCCTTGTTTTGGAAGGAGGCCAGCAGAGACTGTGCCAAGAAATAAACTCTCCACTAACTAAGCCTTTGAGAAACCCGCCATGCCGAACATAGGAGAGCCACATTGCCACCCAACGTTTAGCGGAGTGAGATTTCCCGCCCTGGGCACCTTGTTAAGTTCCCAGCCCTAATTGATAGTTGCAAGCAGAAGAATTTCAAGGTCAGCGGAAAAATACATAAATAAAACTACTCTCCGTATTGTGTTAAGAGCTGCTAAGCAAAAGAAACAACGGACTGTCCCTTTGGGGCTGAGTTGTATCTAAGGGGATTGACTGTCAGGATTTTCACGCACTCACATCCAGCAAGGCTCCTGGGAACCTTCCGCCAAGGTGATCACATTCCATCCAGTGCAGGGGCTTCCGTAAGCTCATAGGCTGGGAAATCTCAGTTCCTTCACGATCTTCATGTACGGGTTTCTAGATAGGAGAATACCAAGCTGATAGAAACTGAATGATTGTAGCTCCGTCCAGGGGAGGGTTTCAACTTGACTTCATCCCAGTAAATCTGCTCACCGTGTGAGGGTGAGGTGCAATACAGCTACCCACTCCTCTGCTGTGGTCCCCTTCCAGAGGAGCAACCTAAAGTGAGTCGCTCATATCTCCTGTCATAATGGGAAGTGAGTCCTTTGGGAGGGGACAAAGAGGGTATCTGCCAAACAGTTTAGTGAATTTCTGGAATTTAAATATTAATTGAGAGGACAGGGTCAGAGGGCAGCCGATCCTCCACCCGCCTCTCCTCTGGCTGCCCGTGGCTTTGATTATGCCACATCCTCCGTTCTAACCAGGACTCCAGAGAGAATCTCGGGGTCATGGCCCGTTGCCTCATCAAGATGTGAAGCCCACAGTTTGGCGGGCCTGGGAGGAGAAGGGAGGTGGCTTCATGCGTTCCACATTTCCCACAAAACCCAAAGCAGACTAAACAAAGCCGGTGTGAACTCCCGTGACTGGATGCCGCTGCGATGCCGGTCTCTGAAGCTGTAATCCATTCATTTGTATGTGTGTTTAGTCCCAGGATTTACAGCTCTCTCTCGGTCTTGAGGCAGGGGAAGAGAATGTTGGAAACCTCTTGTGAAGGACTAAGAGGAAGCCGTGGGCTGTGCAGCAAGTCCAGCGTGGAGGCTCCATGGCCGTGCGTGTGTGTGTGTGTGTGTGTGTGTGTGTGTGTGTGTGCTCGCATTCACGGGACGGCATGAGCAACCTGCCATGAGGGCTTTTCCCCTCCCGCTTGCTATGTTTTGGAAGAAGCGTCACACATGGTAACATTTAGAAGCCCCTTCACAGCTGAAGTGTTTCAGACACTAATGAATGGGAGGAAGTTAGGCTGTGCAGCGCAGGCAGGCTTTACTGAGCGGTATACTGTAGTGACCTGGGAAAGGAAGCGGAGTATAAATTGTGTCAGTTAGCCACCCAGACAAAATGAAGCCATGTGGAAAATCAAATCTATTAAAGTATGAAGGCTGTTGTAAGCTGGCCGTTCTTAAAGGGGCTCCATTGGCTGCCGGGGTAAATGTTTACCTCTCTCCCAGATCTTTTTCACATGCCGTCTTTGGAGACGGCCAGCAGCATTTGATAAAAATCACCCTCCCACTAATGACACCCTTTATTGGAAATGTTTATTATCTCCGCCTTGCTGCCCATGTCCTGAAAGGTATTGCAGGTTTCTTAAATAAGCAAAAGTTAAAAGAACTTTGTAGCTCGCACCAGCTTGCAAGAACCCCCAACAAATTCCAGAGCCATAAGGAATGAGGGGAAGGGGAGGGGAGTGGCATGGAGTTAGATTTATATGGAGGAGAGGCCCTGAGAAAACATATATATTAGGTTTTCTCTGCTTGGCTGGCCCACCGTTAAATGTTTGCCTGATGTTGACGGATTTAGTATTGAGATTGAGCAGTTATGTCAAACTTAGCCGGCTGCCTCAAAATGTGCTTTAATAAATGTAAAAATAAGGAAATAGCTCTCAGGGGCAGTGTACTTGCAGGGCGGGTCTGCTGTTGCTCTCCACAGCCTCTGCTGAGGAGTTCTACACCAGCCCCGTTTGACCCAAACCTGCCCCTACTTGCTTTATAACCGTGGGTATGTTGCTTGTCTGTGCACTAAGGAACACAGCTAAGAAAACACCCAAACAGCTACCATTACCAGCATCTCGTGGGTGAATTTACTTCCCTTAACACTGTTTTTAAGAGCAGTTATGCCAGGTTTTTTTTTTTTTTTTTTTTAACCCAATGACTGTGGCAGACTGTGGGGGAAAAATTAAATCTCTTTCTTGGTGAGTAAAGCCTCCAGAGATCCCACAGTCTCCTGCCTGCAAACAATTGAATTTGCTGATCAGCAACCATGATGACTTAAGTCAACAGGGAGGGACTAGAAGCAGCCCTGGAAAACAAAAGACAACCCCTTGATTCCTCAATGACACGGGTCAGGTACCTGGGAATAGAGGTCAGGCAGTGTCCCCTACCATGTTCTGCTTAAGCGAGCTCACCATGGTGGAGGTAACTCGTGGTACAGGAGTGGTACTTGGGCAAGCATTGGTCCGGGAACAAGGCCTAACCCACCTGCCCTCCGTGTATTGCAGGAGACTGAAGAGACATCCTCGCAAGAGTCAGCAGAGGAGGATTAAAGGGCGCCGACATTCAATTTCTACCTCAGTTGGATCTTTGGAAGGGAGAAGACACTGCAGTGACCACTTCTTCTTTACTGCCACGGTCTTTCCACTTTCTGTGGGGTGGGGCAGGGGCGGGGCTGGGTGAGGGGTGGGGGCCGGGTGGGAGAAACCACATAACCTTGAGAAGGACTATATTAATCACTTTGTAATCCCTTCACAGTCCCAGGTTTAGTGAGAAACTGCTGTAAACACGGGGGACACAGTTTAACAATGCAACTTTTAATGACTTTTCTTTCCCCTTAACTTACTAATAGTTTGTGGATCTGATAAGCAAGGGCACGTGGTTGAAGAGAACCTCTGTGGTGGGCTTAATCAGTCACTACATGCAAACCCTAAACCGGCACCCTGGTGACCAGGGGCATTCGTATAAGAAAAGCATTGTATGTGACTCCGTGTCCACTCAGATGCCACCCCCACCATGATCGTAGAAAATCTTCCGCTTAGGACACCAAAGATTAGGACTAGACACTACTCTCCTTTGTGTATAATCTTATAGACACTTAATTGATTTTTTCTTTTTTTTTTGTTCACTTTTTAATTCTAAATGAGACAAAATACTGGTGTATCTTTTCATACAGCTAGCAAACCAGAATAGGTTATGCTCATTTTTTTGTTTTTCAAAAAGGGAAGTAAACAAATAATAAATGTTGACTCCTCCGTTTATGGACTCACACACATCAGCAGGAGTGATAAGCCCACAAGCTCTCTTTTCCCTCCACGGGAGATCTACACAGCCGAAAGCCACTTAGCAATAAATGACACTTGTCAGCCTCGAAACATCCAAGATAACTAGACAAGTAGAATGATCTTTTGGAATTTAATGAAAAGGTACAGTACCTGATGAACTCACCCAAGTGATGACGTGGGAGGAGCGAAACAGAATTTCTTTTGCTATATAAAGGACCCTATTTTTAAAAAGAAAAAAATAATAATAAAAAAAAGCTCCCGCTCTCTGTCGCTCTCTCTCTCTCTCCTCCCTTTCCCATCTCCCTCACCTCTCTCTCCTCTCTGTATTCTCTGTTCTTCATTGTGTACCAGTGTCCGTGAAAGACCACAGTACCACTTACCTCAGATGAAGCCTGTGTGTTACTTCCCGTAACACCTTTCGTTTTTTTGACATAAGATGGCTGGCCGAGGTGCATTATCTTGGTTCGGTCTGCCATCTCTGCATTCACGCTGCACTTTTAGCCAGAGATGCAATAATCCCCACTACTCCTACTACCTCTGAATGCTACAGTGAATTTACAGTCCTGCACTTGTTACACGCTGCTAGACACAAACCCTGCAAGAGAAAGGAAAACAGAACAAAACACAAACCTTACGGGGTCGGCATGTCAGCCACCCACAGTTCTTGGTCATTCTTGTCAAAGAAGCACTCTTACTCTGTCTCAGCGTGGCTATGCATGTTTCTATGACTTTTTTTTTTTTTAATTAAAATGTTACAAATGCTTGTGGCAGCTTCCCTGCTAGATAGCTAGGTTAATCTGAAACAGTTTCGAATCAAGTTCCTCCTAGGTTCTTAAGGATAATTTTCTTCAGTGACACTACATTGTATCTCTCTCTCTCTCTCTCTCTCTCTCTCTCTCTCTCTCTCTCACACACACACACACACATACACACACACACACACACACATCTGTAGTGTTCAAATATAACTCTCTAAGTCTGTACCTCAAATGAATTGTTGAAACAAATGGACTTATTGATTTGCAAGGACCTACCTCCACACTTCAAAACTTGTATCCTATTAACACTCTTACTCTTTGATTTCTTTCCCCCGGATGTTTGAAAGCGCTCAAACGTCACCTCTCCCTCATCAAAACTAGTTTGTTTGTTTGGTTTTTTTTTTGTAAAAGACACTTGATAGAAATACATTTTTTACATACTTTTGCAAAAATAAATGAATTTAAAAATCAAACCAGCCTTCAAAGAAACTTGAAACTTTGTAGGTGAACTAGAGCTCGCTCAGCTTTTTGCCTAAATGCAATCAAAAAAGAAAAAAAATAGGTTTTTAAGATTAGTCGCCTAGAAGAATATGCTTGACAGATATTTTTTCATGTATTTTATACAATGTGATTCTTGTAAAAATGTCTCAAGCAGATTTATTTTGAACGCTTCTTGTGTAGAGTTTCTATGCCTTGCTCTCCTATTAAGTGTGCTGATTTTCCATGGTGTTATCCACTGGGCCAGGAGGTAGTTTCTCATAGTGGCTTCTGTCAGTATAACTTTTAGTACCGAAGCCAAATGAAACAAACAACCAACCATGTCTCTTCCAGCTGTTTTCAGGGAGGTCGTTTCAAAGGTCACGTACCACCCTGAGACTGGCAGATGGCTCGCTGTCGTGGGTCACCAAAGGAGCTATGGAGAGACTATAACTCAACATGACTGTTAACTGTGCAGTAAATAAGCAAACAAACAGTAGCTTATAAAAAATCAGATTCCCACTCCATATCTTCGGATGGGCCTTTCAGAAACCTCATTTTGGCCAGCTCATAAAAACTGAAGTAGTTTCTCGTGTTGGCCAGACTCGGCACACCGAGCGATTTCCATCTCTGATGAAGTTATTCTTTATTTCCTGTATGTTGTACAATCAAAACACACTACTACCTCTTAAGTCCCAGTATACCTCATTTTTCATACTGAAAAACAAGAAAAAAAAAGAAAGAAAAAAAAAAGGCTTGTGTCCAATGGAACAGTGAGAACATCATAAAATTTTTATATATATAGTTTATTTTTGTGGGAGATAAATTTTATAAGACTGTTTTTTACTGTTGTTGGTCACGGCTAAGTAAGACTGGACATCTGACTTCTGCCATTTCTGCAAGTTAAATAAAAATATGTTTGCAGGAGAAACTTATCAAGACAATTAACTGCAACCGACTTTCTCCCAGTTCCTTTGTGCGCCCTCTGACTTTACTCTCTGTTCTTGTGTAGAATCG